CCTTGATCGCCATGGCAGGTTGAAGGCAAGTTGAGAGGCTTGGAGAAAATGGAAGAACAAGTTAAAAGCTCCATAGCCGGTGATGTCATGGTTGTTTCCTTGTTGTGAAAGTGACAGGAGAGTTTTGGATGGTTTGCAGGCAAGAAGGACCAACTGATACGCAAGTTGTTGAGTGTGGATGAGAAGACAGAAGGGCTTGTGAGGGAAATCGAAGAAAGGGAGAAGCTGGCGAGAGAAAATGTGTGTGTTGAGAGATTTCTTGTGATGATGATGATGATGATGATGATGATGATGATGATGATGATGATGATGATGATGATGATGGAGATGATGATGATGATGGTGGTGGTGGTGTGATGATGATGATATGATAATGATGATGATGATGATGATGATGGTGGTGGTGGTGGTGGTGGTGGTGGTGGTGGTGGTGGTGGTGGTGGTGGTGATGATGATGATGATGATGACAGACCAATTTCCGAAGAGACCGAGAGATGAATGCAGCAGTATTGGAACATCGCAATCTCTGTCAGTTTTCTTTGACTGGGCAGATTGCTCCCTCCTTTTGTTTTTGCATTGCAGCCTTGTCCACTAGGGGCTCCCTGCCCCTCTTCATCCTGCTCCTGCTCCTGCTCCTGCTCCTGCTCCTGCTCCTGCTCCTGCTCCTGCTCCTGCTCCTGCTCCTGCTCCTGCTCCTGCTCCTGCTTTCGCTCACAGTTATCCTTCTTCTCCTCCATCCCCTTCCTCTCCTCCCCCTCTCCTTTCCCTTCCCTTGATCTCCTGCACCTCTTCTTGCTTGGAGATCTCTCGCTGTAACAAGGGCATGCTAGGTGAACACATCGCTCGCTTGCAGGGCTCAATCAACTTCACCAAGACGCTAATGTCTAACATGAACGATCTTGACATGTTGAGGTGAACATGTTGCGTCGTCTCTCTCCATCCTCTTCTCCTCCTCCCCCCTTCTCTTCCTCCTCACATCTTTGCGAGCAGGTTTGCGCAGCTTCAAGCCAGGCTCCTCGACGCAGAGAAAGATTCTCACGCGCGCGCTGGAAGCGACCTCAGCGTCTTCCAGTCAGGGGGGGAAGTCCAGCAGCTCCCAGCTGACTTTCAGCTGAAAACACACGCTCCCTCTCGCCCTCCTCCTGCCACGTCGCAGCTCCCGACCAGACTCGCTTCTCTTCCTCCTGCCCATGGGGCCGTTCCGGCAAGGTCGCTGGAGGAGGATCGGGGGTGGGGAGTAGAAAGAGGAGGAGGAGGAGGAGTTCTCTTTGCTCTTGGAGGGTTCGATGGCGTGAAGAATCTGTCCTCTGTCGAATACTTCGAGCCAGCAAGAGAAGGAGGAGGAGGAAGAGAAGGAGGGAGCTGGCAGAGGAGCGTGGAGATGAGCACGCCTCGGCGAGGCCTCTGTGCTGTCTTTCTTGGGGTGAGGGAGGAGGAGGAGGAGGAGGAGGAGGAGGAAGGGAAGGCGGGGGGAGGGCGAGGTCGATGAAGAGGGGTGACGGGGAGGAGAGGAGTAACGATGCATGTGCAGGGGAAACTTTACGCCATGGGAGGATGGGACGGGAGGAACTACCTGGACAGCATGGAAGTGTTTGACTGCAAGGAGAGGAGATGGTCTGAAGGACCCAGGTGCCTCCCGACGTGCTGAAGTAGAGGATGACGCGAGTGGCAGGATGCTTTCTCCTCGTTGTTTCGCGGCGGCGGCGGCGATGGAGGAGGAGGAGAGCTTCTGTGTTGTAGGAGGATACTTTGGAGCAAGCAACCTGCGCAGCGCCGAGTACTTTCACGTTCCGTCGGGGGAGTGGAGGGCATTGCCGGAGATGCTTGCGCAGAGAAGGTGAGGAGGGAGGAGGAGGAGGAGGAAGAGGAAGAGGAAGAAGAAGAAGAGGAAGTAGAGGAGGTGGAGGATGGAAGGCGGGGAGGGAAGAGCGGTTTTGTATGAGGGAGGATGAAGCATGTGCAGGGGGCTGGGGGCAGCATGGCTGGCAGGGCCGCGGGTTGTCGTGGCGACTGGAGGATGGGACGGAAAGCGAAGCCTCGCGAGTGTCGAGCTGCTTGAGTGGGAGGATCCGAGCAAGTGGAGGGAGATGGCGCGACTGCAGGTGAGGAGGGAGGGAGGGGAGGAAGAGGCCAGAGCAGGGAAGGAGGAGGAGCAGGAGGGGGAGGAGAACGGGGAAGGGAGGGGGAAGCGGGGATGCAGATGGCGGGGGCAAGGAGGGATGGAGATGATGATGATGGAGATGATGATGATGGAGATGATGATGATGGAGATGATGGAGATGATGATGATGGAGAGTAAATCAATGATGGAGCGTAATGAATGGTGATGATGATGATGATGATGATGATGATGATGATGATGATGATGATGATGATGATGATGATGATGATGATGATGATGATGATGATATGATGATGATGATGATGATGATGATGATGATGATGGA